ATCGTCATCATCACCAATGGAACTTATTGCTTATAAGTTGCAATATTGCAGGTATCTTACCTTATTGATGACTATAAATGTGGGCGTACACCTAACCCTGATGTTCTACTTATTTTCATTACCAACTTAACTTGCTGACACCAGTCACTGTCATTGAGGGATACATGTAAGAATTTTAGGTGAAGCATCAGATCTACTTTCTTTCATATCTCTCACAAGCTCAGCTTCAAAGACTAGTGCTTCCTCTTGGATGTATTCTAAAAGTAAGTAAGTTTGCTTTATGAAAAACAAAACAAAATTTATGAATTTACTATTTAAACCTATAAAATTATCAGGATGAAGTCTGAAGGCTTGCTCGGAAATTTGATTTGCCAAACCAAGAAAGAAGGGACTCATAGGGAATATGCTTTCTTGGGAAGGTATGTTATGTCTGTTAACAAAATCCCATCTTTGGAGATGATATATATATATATATATATATATATATATATATATATATATATATATATATATATATATATAAAATGCAAATTTATGTAATTATTATTATACAGATTAAGTTCAGTGAATTTGTTGGAAGACATATTGGTGAAAAAGAAGGTATATATATTATTAGAAGCTGAAACAGGTGATTTTTTAGGAGTCCACAGGGGCTTCTAGTTTTACACAATTGGTCAGCGCCAAGGTTTGGGTCTTGCAGAACATAACTCATATTCCAGAAGTTGTTAAAGACTGAGTATAAAATTAAAGAAATTTGTTACTTTACTTAACTGTGATTTCTTCTTTTAGGGCCCTAATTGTACCCTATCTTGGGGATTCCACCCTACCATATGTATGTATCAATCCCCTTGTAATATTCTCCAATTATTGATAATCATGTTGGATGATAATTCATGTTTCTACAATGGATGCTAAAGAAAAGAGTGACTATGAAAATATTGTCCAACTATTTTGATATTATGAAGAGAATTTAGTAGACCTGGCAATGGGGCGGGTTTGGAGCGAATCGAACTTGATCCAAACCCTTTTAACAAATTTCAAAATCCGATCCAAGCACGCAGGGTTTTGAATAATCAAAGCCATACCCTTATCCACCGAATCAGCAGATATCCAAACCCGCGCTGTAACCCGTAGGTTTTTTGAATAATCAAACATATTTTATTTAAATCATAAAATCACATTTATTAAATAAAACTAATTTTTGATTTATAAAAGACATTATGTACTCGAGGACTTTCTATTGGAATTAAAATCATTATTTTAGTTACTTCTGATTGGTTTTTGATCGTTGATTGAATTGATAGAGAATTGCAATTACAAAGTTTCTTCCGGTTGATAAATGACCTTATTGATTTAAATGAAATTGGTGATTACATGATGAAATATAAATGAAATGAAATCATCACTTTTGGGAGAATACTGAAAGTCTAGAAGTTGAGTCTTCGAGTCCTATGTAAAAACAATTGAGTCTTTGGCCTTTTTCTTTGGACTTCTGATTGGAATTTAATGTAAACTTTAGGCAATATAAAATATAAATTTATATTTCTAAAATTTATATGGGGCGGGTTGTAAACGGAGCGGATCGGTAATGATCCATACCTGACCCTTTTAATAAAATGGTTAGCGGGTACGGGTCGTTAACGGATAAACAGATCAATAACTATGCTCCAAACCCATATAATTGTTAGAGGTTTGGATCGGATCAGGGTCAAAACCCGCTCCATTGTCAGGCCTAGAATTTAGGATTTAATTTGGTAACTGGTTTGTCATGTCTAATAATAATATGGTCAATTTCGATTGTTGTCATATAGTTGAAAGGATCTTAGAACCAAAGAGATAAACCAAGAAAATGTTAAACAATTAGGCCATGCACTTCCTCATCCTAACACAATTGACCCCTCACAGGATAGGATGCTTATTTATAAATTATATTTTTTGTTTTGACTTTTGAGTGAAGTGATGATAATTTTAAGATTATATCTTTTTGGAGATGCTTTTCTTTGGATCCCATAGGGTATTCTTGTACAAAGCCAGGCTTCCTATCTTATGAAGAGTGTGACCAACCACCTTATAGCATTGGTAAAAATCTTGATTATTATCTTTATTTGTGATATATTGAATAAAATAAGTTACCTTTCACTTGGACAAAATAAATGTTTGGATGTTTATTTTGAAAGTGATTACTACAAATTGAAGAATCAGAACCATAATCATATAATTAGTTGATTAAAGCTAGATATAGGTTGGTACTTACTTGGTAGTTTAACATGGACTTTCACCTAATTGTATACTATAGCATGGACTTTTCTTCCAAAAGGTTCTCTCCCTTCACCTCACCTCACCATCCTTCCTTTTCAAGTTAAATGCAAGAAATATCAGCCTACTTTCACCTACATGTATATCATAGCCATTTCATTATCTTACAATTTGAAAAATCTATACAATTATATAGCATTTTTCTTTTTAGTTCGTTATGCTGTGAAAAACATATCCATATCCAGTTATAGCAGTAAAAATTGTTGTGTTCGGATGCTGTTACTATAAAATATAAATATAATTGGGTATATTTTTCTCAGATTAAAATGTTGCAATGGAAAGATATAAAATTATTAGTATTCTATAATAATCATGATCTGGTCCGGAAATGGAAAGCTGATTCATGTTGTTCACTCGTGGCGATCGAGGTGCCCAATAATCAACATGCGGTGGGCCACAAAGAGTTTTGTGGTGAAAGCTGTCACCCAACTGAATTTAGATTTAAATTTAAATTCCAATAAGCATGCGAATGAGCATTTATCGTTTGGGGAATGTGAGAGGAACCCCATATACATGGTGGGTACTCCTGATTATTATGGTACTTGTAGGAAGACTTGTAATGTATTGTATGCTCATAATCATATCAATACATCTATTTATTTTTACTCGATAAATTATTTCATTTTCTAGATCGTGTTAATTAGGACATCTCCAATCTCCAATATTACCATTCAACCCACTACATTTAGTGAGCATTGAACCCCAAACAATCATCTTAACCAAGACAAACCTAACTTTAATGGTTAAAAGAAATTATACTAAATAACTATTTCAGTTCTCCATATATAGGTAATGTTCTTTTTTTTTTTACACATTAAGGTAACTAACTTGTTTTGTTTGTTCACATTTAGGTAGTATGACCGGCTATCACCTATTTTTGCTTATGTGGCATCCACCTGGCATATGATTAGAATACGTTGCACCTACGTGGCATGTTGCATATATGGGAAAATGATTTATTACGGTAACTAACTATTTCAGTTGTCCATATATAGGTAATGTTCTTTTTTTTGTACACATTAAGGTAACTCCCTTGTTCTGTTTGTTCACATTTAGGTAATATGACCGGCTATCACCTATTTTTGCTTATGTGACATCCACCTGGCATATGACTTGAATACGTTGCACCTACGTGACATCCACCTGACATTTGTTAAAAGGGTACTTCTGTGATACTTATGATTTTATTATCACATTAATGTTATTTTTAAACACCTATGATACTCTGATTATCACATTAATGGTTTTATGTTTAAATGTTTCAGGTACTTCTGGTTAAATGGAAAAGGTTTGACGAGATTGCATCGCATCCACCGAAGATTCTACACTTATGATTTTATTATCACATTAATGTTATTTTTAAACACCTGTGATACTCTGATTATCCTTTGGAAGTAATGAAATAAAGATTCTGTTCATTTTAATGAAAATTTTACCATGTATTTTGGGACATTACATGAATGTTATGATAGCCATTTTCTGTTAGAGTTAAAAATGACTATTATGTCCTTATTGATTTTTATCTATTTATGAAAACATAAAAAATCCAAAATATTAGAATAGACAAAAATGTCCTTACTGATAAGTTAAAAATAAGTGGTTTCTAGGGTTTCTAACCTTTAGTGGTTCTCATTTTATCCAAATTTTACATATAGATCGAGTTTAGATTTCAGGGTTTCTCTAATGCCTCTCTCACCATGTGGTGATGTAAGAGTTTGGGGCAGTGTTCCTAACTTCCTATAAGTGCTACCAGGTGAGCCCCAGACCCCGCGAGAAGGTTTATCTTTTGGTATTATATATTTTTTAGTTTTTGGAATAATAAAAGATTTAATATTTAAGAATAAAGAATTAAGTAGAGAGAAGCTAGGATTACAAAAGATTTAAATATTTGGAAATAATTATGTGATAATCAGTAATAAAAAAGCAAATATTATATCAACACTTTGACCTTTTTTTTTTTAATTTTTTTTAAATTTTTTGTGTGTGTATTATATAGAACATCCAGGAAAAGATGGTTGAGTTGTTTGAAGAAAGCATGTAATGGGTACCAGTCACGCCTTATTGCTTTTTATTAGAGTAAATTACACGAATGGTCCCTATGGTTTAGGGTAATTTGCATGTTTGGTCCATAACTTATTTTTTTAACTCGGAAGATCCCTACTGTTTGTTTTTGTTACGTGCTTGGTCCCTATCTTACCTAAAAAGATTATTATGTCTTTGATTTTTTTAATTTATTTAAATAAACACTCCCCTAATCCCACCCCCTCACATTACCTCACCTACCCCATTATTTTTTCCTCTTTAAATAATAGTCTTTTTAAATAAGATAGGGACCAAACGCGTAACAAAAATAAACAGTAGGGATCAAACGCGTAACAAAAACAAACCATAGGGACCTTCCGAGTTAAAAAAATAAGTTAGGGATCAAACATGCAAATTACCCCAAACCATAGGGACCATTCGTGTAATTTACTCTTTTTATTATGGTTGAAATCTTGATAGGACAAGAAGTAGGGATTAATAATATGAATCCCAAATAAGAAGAAAGAAACACCTGGCGACTAATTGCATGAATGAAATACAAAAGAAAGTTAACGAATTTGATCGTAAAAATATCTATGTAATGAAATTTTTTCTATCAATTAATCTCATGGACCAAAATCATTTTCTTCATGATCCATTAACTCCCATGAACCATCCTCCTGTTGAACCATACAATTGTTCTTCTCACACCACCAAGAGACAAGCACGCCGTATTCTTCCTTCAGTGCATCCAAATGCTTGTTTACAAGTGAGATATCACGTTTAACTTCTAGCTTAAAACCTCCTTTACTACCTTGTGTCCCTGCAACTCCATGCATATAAGCCTCCATGCTATGCCAACTTGACAAATTCCCTGGACTCTTCAAGTACTCAGACTTTGTTGTATCAATTTCCATTTCAACCCCAACGTCTGAATACCCTATCAAAGGGTAGTTTGGAACCACGTCTGATGCATTGCGAATGCGTAGGGCATGGAGATCTTTTTGTGAACTGAAAACTTTCTTGAAATTCGAATCTCCCACACGAGGGCTAGCAAACACAAAGGTGGTCACTGGGCATGCCTTGTTTGGCATATCTTTCGGCTTGTTGAATCCATTCAAAACTATGTCAATCGCATTTAGTGTTGCGATTGCTGAACCCAAACTATGTCCGGTTATGGTCAAGCTAATATCCTCGTTCTTGTATTGTTCCACTAGTCTCTTCACCTCCGCAAGTACCTAATGATATTTGTACCGTATTAAAAAAGAAATCTTTAATTATCAAATATTCAAAATAATTTCCCATTGAAATATTAAACACAGTAAATTACACAAATGTTTGGATTAGTTTGTATGTTTGGTTCCTAACTTTGTTTTTTTTTTTTTAACTTCAATGATCCATTTGGTGTTGTCTTGTCTCGGATTTGGTCTCGGATCATGTTAAAATCACTATTAAGACGTTGCCACTTAGCTTCTCGGAGAATCTCATTTCCTCATCGGAAATCATTTGTCAGCCATTATCCTCTACTACCAAGAACACATATTTATAAAAACATGTGTTTTAGCAGCAAACATGCAATATGAATCTTACAATGCAAGAAACTAGAGAACCACATATTAATAATGATGATGTAGTCCAGATATTTCAATTTAAAAAAAAAAATGAATTTCAAACACAAATCTAGTTTTCAAATCAAATTGAGTGTTCAAGTACGTACTAATAAAATAATAATCCAAATCGAACTCTAAGAAATTTTCACCCTCGTAATTCCAAATCGAATTCCCATTGAAAAGGAAGATGGATTCAAGAAACTTAAGCTACACCCAAACCCAAACCCAAACCCAGATCTAAAGGTAAAAAACAAAATGGATCCAAACCTAAAGTAAAAATAAATAAATAAAAGATCCAAACCAAAGTTGAACCGGTTGGAAATCAATTTTGGATATCGTTATTGATTTTCTTTGATTTTGTGGGTTCCTCGAGGCTAGAATAGAAACAGGGTTATCCTTGCGGGAGGAGTAGAGACAGGCGGAGTAGAGCGAGGCTGGTACTGGTTTAAGTTGTGGTTATTATGTTGGCGGTAGAAGTCATCATTCCGGCACCGGTGGCTGCGATGTGGGTGGCAGAAGGTGGGTCGGTCGATCATCGGGCAATGCAACAACTACAGAGACGTGCATGAGAGTTAGTGGAGAGTTTCATAAGGCTCTCCGACTTGGGATGTGGTAGAAGTATGTGAGGTGAGCCATATATTACAAAAACATTATTACAATTCAAACAAATATTAAAAATTAGATTTAAAAAAGAACCAAAATGGTAGACTACCTAAACCATAGGAACTACTTGTGTAATTTACTCAAAAATTATGTTATCTAAGGATTATACGTACGCACCTGATCTCTAGCATTAGTTTTATTGTAAGGTGACCTTGGATCATCAGTAGTATAGACTGAGTACCAACCTTGATGTATTTTTGGATTATCATCATCATTGTTTTCTCCAAATATTATTGGAGCCGAAACCAACGTGAAATCAAGATCATTAACCCACTCCATGGTCTGAATAGTTCCTCTCCAAGCAATCAGAATGTCTCTCCTCCCTAACACCACCTTCCCCTCATCCGTAGCAACTGCCACAAACCCCATCCAATTCGATTCCTTACACCATGCTTCCCTCGACAATGACTTGAAAATGAATGCATCAGGAAGAGGTATAGATGACGTGGCATATAAGTATTTAGTTACATGATACTTGTTCAATGGACGTCCTTGACTAATCCCTACCTTTGACAACAGATTGGTTCTTGCATAGCGACAACTTCCAGCGTACTTTGATAGTTTAACAGAGTTGAAAGCATCGTAAGTGGCTTGAGCCATTTCGCCATAGTGGATGATGTAATTACGGAGATCTTGTTTAGGAGGATCTAGTAAACCCTTCCAATTGGTTTCTCCGCTAAGTGTTTTCCAGTTTTTGGAGATGTTATCCATGTCTTCGTGGATATGAGTATTTTTCCCTTGTTTTTTCTTAGTGTGAGAGAAACTCATCGTTTGATTTTTTTAGGGTTACAAAGGAATGGAGTACTAAAGCAAACGTTACTTATAGATGAAAGTCCTGTAGTGAAGTCTAAGTCATATAAATCGTATGGAAAACGGCATTTGCTCATTATAAAGCAACAAAACTTGCAAAAAAAAAATGGCACATAACTACCTTTCACGCAAAAAAAGAAGGTTCAAATTTATCTAAGTTCACGGAAGAGATACAATCAGTACACTAGAAAACGCATTAGTATTATTGAAACCTAAAGAAGTGGCTAATTAATTGTAACAATCAATATAATATATTGATCTAAATGACAGTTGTAACTTCTAACTTCTAAGGAATTAGTTTTGCCAAAACTTCTTGTTAGAATGGAGTGTGCGCAATTAATTATATTTTGTAGTTATTCATATATATAGTGAGATTGCTGGATAGTGGGACGATTCCGTAAGCATGCAGTAAGCGGATGCTTCAGCGTATAATTAATATCCTACGTTTATGGAAATAAAAATCTAGCAAGCACAAATTTTCATGATAAAATTTCTTTATTAATATCCTACGTTTATGGAAATAAAAATCTAGCAAGCACAAATTTTCATGATAAAATTTCTTTATTTTTCAAATAACCTATCCTCACGCAACCTGTTCGTAATTTTATATCATCAAATATATTTTAGTGCAATGGATTTAACAAGTGGTTCAAGAATAATATTTTAGTTATAATATAAGTTAGGAAGTTTGGAAGTGCACACTTGTAGTTACTAAACATGTTAGTACCGAACCCTAATTTGTCATTATTGAAAAATGCAAATTCAGTGACTAATCTGGTTTTTCTGAAAGATGCAAATTGTTCTCATTTATCCGTTAAGTGGATAAATCCAGGAAAATAACCACTTCTTTGGAACACAGAAAACCGGGAAAAGCTTCATTCTTCTTCTTCTTCTAAAATTAATTCTGATTTTGTGCCTAAAATCAGAATTGTTGCATCAGGATTATCCTAAGTTTGGATTTCGTGATACCCAAAGCATATAGGTCGAAATATCAAACAAGGAAAGTGATTACACGATTCCTGTTTTGTTATCTAGATTTCCATAACCCTATTTCAATATTTCCAACAGCAACTAGTCACATTTCATAATCAAATGTAACTAGAAAGATTTAGAAAACTTTATTGCCATAGTATTAAAAAGAACACCGATCTCAACTTTTGAAAGTAAAATTTGGTTATTATAAATTAGTAACAAGCAAAAAAAGTTGTCTCAAGGTAAAAATGAGAAATTAAGTTTAAAAGAAAAGAAAATAAAATAAAACCCGGAATATAAGGACTGCCACTACAATAAATATGAGTTATAAAGGCGACACCACCAACAACAACGACTCCAAACTCGACGTGCTTGGAATTGCTGCTTTTGTTGGTGTCGACGCTAAAGCATAGTGACTAATGCTTAATGTAAGGAAGTTTAGGGTTTGTGGTAGAGATCTGGATACTAAATTGGATCGTGATTTCACTTTCCAAACAAATATTTCTACCTTATATCTGGGTTACAAGAAATTCAGCGTAGGATAATCCAAGTGGACACTTACAATTCTAGGCACAAAAATCGTAAGCCAATATGCTAGAAGATTCTGTGAAAGTATGATAAAAACGAGAGCTTAAGATTGTGTGTGTCTTCTGAAAAGAAGTGTCGTTTATATAACAAAGGATATTAGGGTTGGGCCGTTATGGGTTCCTTTGGAAACAAGTCAGGGTAATCCGGATTTTAATGAGGATTTAGGGTTACCAAAACTAACGAGTTTCGTTAGTTTTACCATAATCACCCTCAAGAATTGGAATAACCCACGAGTTTCGTTAGTTTTACCAAGTCAGCGGGACCCCAGCCAGGGTCTCTGCCCCTTGGACCCCGCTAGGGGCGCTGCCCCTAGACCCTGCTAAAGGGGCGCTGCCCTTTTGGAAACCTCGGACCCAGGGGCGCTGCCCCCGGACCCCCAACTAGTCGTCGAACCAACTACTAATTTGATCTTATACATGCGTGCACTCTGCACCAATCCGTATACATATTAGAAAATAAATTAACAAGCCCCTTAGCTCACATGTTAATTTTAGTTACATAAAATGATATGGTGACACTAAAATCACCAACACTCAATAGCTCATCATTCTTATCTATATGCTTCATTTTTTACTTGTATGCGTCACTTCTAATTAATCTTAACCATTGGTACCATTGATCAATCTAGTGGCTATGTTCCGTTCTTGTTTGGCAAAGACAATAGCGGCAACAGTTTGTCGCAACTATTACTCTCTAGAAAAAGACCCGTGAGATCATCCATCTAGTACATTAGGATTAGCTACTAATAGTTGTCGCCACTAAAACTTGTAACTGTTATTGTGACTTAATTGTCGCCATGAATAACCTAGCCCTTCTTTCTCCCACTAACGACGAAATCAAACCATGCACCACCACCGACAACTTATGCTGAAATCAAGTCCATCGACCACCATCTCCTCTCACATTTTTTTCCTCTTTGCCATCGAAAATAGATATCTCTCCGCCTTTCTGTGAGTGTTAAACTGAGTACGTGAACAAGGTTTGAAAACACAAATATTGAATTAACTTAAGATCAACGTCTGCTAATAATAAGGATCCAGTTAAGTCTAGTAAACCTATATTGGCTCGAAATTAAGAGATTCAACAGAGTGTTCAAAAGTATAAAAAGTTTAAGTAATGAGAATGTAAAACAATACAATAACAATACGAATATAAGAGAGAATGATTGACTAAATAATTCGTTATTGATGCGAGAAAGGTGTGTGTTTCACTTTCTAATACAAGGGTTATTATTCCTTAAATAGTCAAGAAGTAACTAAAAAAACTAAAAAAGTAAGTATGGATTAATAAACATATGAAGATCAACTGACACACCCCTTTTGTTGATCATTTCTCATTTACTATACTATCAAAAAAAAAAAAAAAAAAAAAAAAAAAAAAAAAATTCTTCCACTGACCATTTTGATAAATCCACTTAAATTATAATTTAATGACAACTATGCCCTCATTTAAATTTGTATTGTTATCTATTTTAGTGTCTAATTATTCCTCGATCAGTTCCACCAAAAAAAAATTAATGGATAGTTTATACTTTATTATCCTCTTTTCCTCTACGCTCCTTATTTAAAACCCATTTTTTTTTTTTTTTCATATTTCACCCCTCATTTCAGTACTTTTTATTCTTTTTTCTTTTGTTATTTTTTATATCACCGGTCCTTTTTTAATTTTTTATATCACCGGTCCTTTTTTAAAGAGGTTATGATTCTTGTGAATATTGATGACTATGATTTTGTTTATTCGGAATATCAAGAATGAATATATATATATATATATATATATATATATATATATATATATATATATATATATATATATATATATATATATATATATATATATTAATTCCGTGATTATGATTAGGGATGTTGTTTGACATGTTTAATCGATTACAGTTTGTTCCAATTCGTTTGATTGATTTTTTCACTTACAATATACTCCTTCCATCTCAAAATTATAATTTATCTTTCCTTTTAGATTTGTTCCAAAATAATAGTCCACTTCTAAAAATAAATAATATTTTACCAAAATACTCCTTTATTATTACTTAACAAACTAAGCATTTAATTGAGCATTAAATGCAAAGTAAGGACAAAACTGTCAATTTATTATATAAAGTTAATGGTAATTAATGTTTTTGTTAATCTGTGTGTTTTTTGTCTGTGGACAATAATATTGGGATGGAGGGAGTATTAGATGAACCAAAACAAATAAGGTTCGATTTAATCGTTTTCAGTTTTAAATGAGTCGATTAAATGTGTTCAGTTTCCGTTAAATCCGAATAACAAACATTTGAACAACTAATCAAGTGAGAATGTTTATGTCTCATGGAATGTGTAGGGATGTTCAAAACCGGATATCTGAAAATTCGGGTATCCGAAATTTCGAATAGTGGATTTTCAATATCCGAATCCGTATCCGAAAAATCAGATATCCGAAATTCGGATACGGATTCGGATTCGGATATCCATTTTTTTTTTTTTATGTGTAACCGACTCAAATAACTTAAACAATACCATTAATGGATGTTAGAATGAAGTGATTAGTTGCACAAAGTCGCAAATTGAAACCAATGGAAAAAAACAATTAATTAAATCGAGTCAATTAATAAGTTATTCGTTGATGCACCAGTTTCATTCCATTAGAAACAAAAACCAAGCGTAAGTCCACATTTTCATGTTCCAAACACTAGTGCAAGTCCTTTTATAGTGCATATTTCTATATTATGGATAAACATTGTAAACCAAAACATCATGAATTGATTAAAGACATTTTTATATTATTGATAAATATTTCTAATTACTTATAGTATATATGTCTTGGCTAATATAATTAGACTAGGTAATTTAATGTAATTTATGTTAACACACAAAAAATTATACGTGTATTAAAGAAAGATCAAATAAAACAATGTAGCATCTGTTATCACAATAAACATGTTCCTCAACTCATACTATCTATTCTAATTTGAAATAAAAAAAATTTTAAAAAAAAAATAAATAATATATATTTCGGATATCGGATATTCGAAATATCCGAAAATTTAGAAAATAACTATCCGTATCCGAATCCGAAAAACCGGATATCCGAATTTCGGATATCCAAAAAACCGGATATCCGAATTTCGGATATCCGAAAATCCGGATATTCGAAATTTCGGATAATTTCACTTCGAATTTTTGGATTTTTCGGATCGGATATTCAGATACGAATTTTTTGAACACCCCTAGGAATGTGTAACTTCTGGACTCCCATTGTGTGTTTAATTTTGAGATTTATTAAGTGACTTGACGAGTTATGAGTCCAACTCATCGAGTAGAGTCGAGTTGACCATGTGGGATTAATGAATGGGCTCGATGAGTCAAAGAGCCGACTCGCCGAATTGGTGTTGTGTAGTGAAACCCTAATTTCCTGGGGTTGGGGCCTATATAAGAGAAATTATGCCCTCATTTTTTGCTCACCAACAGCCT